CCTCCGGCTCCTTGTATCCGAGCGCCGCGTCCAGCCAGGGCGCGTCCATCGCAGGCCGCGCCCATCTCGTTGAGTCCGTCTGCAGAGCACTTCCATGACCGCCAGCCCAGCGCCTATGATCTATCTGCAATGGAACGATTTTAGACTATTCGTTCTGGGGCTCCTGGAGGCCCATAGAACACGGACCGGCGCATTATGCGCGCCCTTCTAGTCGACCACGCAATGCCTTCCATGTGCTGTATTCCACAACAATCCTATGCGTTTCGGTGCTTTTGGACGGGTACGAAGCGAAAAGTCCTGTCATCAACATCGGCAAGGTCGTGAAGCGCGCGCGTGAAGCCCTTCGCTAATACTGGATTCACATGCTACGTTACGTTGCGAAAACTTTTAGGTAAAAGTGGCCCTGAGAAAGTCACCCAGTTCACACGGGACATTACGACGACGTTGTATTCGTTGGCGCGAGCTGTGTAAAACCATCTCCATTTTATGTCTTTCAATGGCCAAAACTTCAGAACATCCCCTTAGAATTGCAATATATATTAAAGGCAGGGTAAGTGGTTATGGGCCCCCGCCTGCTACTTCCGTATTATTTTTTAATAGTTTGCTTTATAGCCAGTTCACATGCTACGTTACGTTGAAACTTTTTGGAAAAAGTGGTCGGTTCGGACGTGGTAACGGTACGTTACCGGTAAAGTGGACGAAAAGTCTAAAGTGACCAGGGGGGGGGGGTTCAATTTCGTCAAACGCTGACCCCTCGTACCGTTACTTGAAATGCGTCGCCAATTTCGCGAGTTATAACAAACGGCCAAGCCCAATCGCTTATAAAGACCACATACTTGACAAATTGTGCGCGCTTTGCACTCCGACTGAATTTCTAGTCACACCGCTGCCTTATATTATAAAAATGAACAAGGACAACGCCGCTCGTGTTGCTCGCCCGCGCACGACCCCTTACATAGCCAATATGTAACCCATTGTAGTATCAGGGCTGAAGCCATCCGCGAAATGGCAAGTCGGCCGCACTTCCGGCGGCATGGGCCGCGCCGCGTCGGCCCACACGCGCAAGCACTGCCATTGAGAATTGAACATATCCTCAAGGTTGTCAAAAATTCATC